CAATTGAAATAAAATTACATATTCATAATATATAATATAATATTCGAAAATTGTTTACTAGTCGCGCGACAAATTTTGATGGACAAAAATACGCATTTTAATAAGTCGATATGCAAGTGCCAATTTTTTACAGTTGATAAATATCAAGTACGTGAAAAGATATATGATTGTAATTAAATACATTGCAACGCTATTCAGTTTGAAATCGATCTCGTCCGCAATGTTTTGTTAATAACTCAAAATGATAGTAGTAATTTTATTCCGATATTGTGCAACATTAACATCCAATTAATATTTAATTAATTGCTAGTGAAACGCGTTATATAAATATGCTACCAAAATATACGATCAAGAAATAATTTAAGTTGCGTGAAAATATATATATTTAATGAATTGTTGTATTTCGACGCTTATGAATTGTTAATCGTGAAAATTAATCAAACAAATTGATAATTTTTCGTAATATACTATATATTGTGTTTGTGAAATTTCTTAATTCTTTTCACGATATTTTCAAAGATAACTTTGCTTTTCGAGTCTCACGCAAGCTATATAAATAATAGTGTGTTTTGTATATACGTACATTATAAAGAGCGGAATGAATACAAAGAATTGTATGGGGAAGAGGTGGGAGTCTTTCGTCTCATCCCCCTCCACATGAAGCGCTTTAGTACGTATGCCTTGACTCCTGACCTTGTCATTCATATCGCGAAGGTGGGCGTCGTAAGACGTATGTCGCTGTATATCTTTCGATAATCGAGTATCCGAAAAGTACCAAAAGATATCGAGCGAGAAAATGTATTAATCACGATTATTAATTTGCGCGATTAATTTCCACGATTAAATATTTATAAACAATGGCATGTATCGAAACAATGGCAATTCATTAAAACATTTACATATTTCACGCCATTTACACTGATTATGAATGTTGATTATTGTATTTTCGAAAGATATTATATTGTGCGTTAACTAGTTATTAATAAAATTTTAATTGCGCGATATCGAAATAAAGTTGTTGGTGTCATTTTCAGTCGTTAATGGAACACTTTGCAGATACAGAATCGTATTAATTTCGAACGAGCGGCAATATTACAATCACTTTTAATTATATATAGTTGATATTTATTAATTGCTTAGTGAAAATTCGATTTTCGTTATAGGTTGTCAAAATGCGTATTTTATTAAATCTATCGAGAATAGTTAAACATCGTATCATTGTCGGATGTTGTATTTTTTACATATGTTTATTTTTTACTTTAACGTACATATTTATCGAGTTATAGTTTTAATGCGATATATTTATTATCAATTAATATCTGTTAACGCGCTAGTAATTTTTCGAAATGACTTTAACTTTATACGATTGTTTCGTTATTTTCGTCATTGCAATATAATAAAATAAACGCGTTGTGCTTGATAGTTGATATCGGGAATGATGTGCAAAGCATTCTGTTGAAGTGTGCGCATAATTAATTTTGCTTTCGTGAGTTGGCATGTGAATATCATGATGAAGTGGAAAAAAAAGAATTAACGAAAGAGGAAGAGAAGGCTTACGGCATCAGGCAACGACGAAACAGCCATGAAGTAAGTAATTCTTATAACTTAGTATTTATCATTTATTTTATGTAAAATTAATTACTTTTCTATCTCCGCCATTTTCACTCATGATTTATTTTATCATTGTAATATAATTTTGTGTTTGTAAAGTATTTTGTTCTTTTATTTTAAAATATTTCAAATATTTTTTAATTAATGTTACATAAATATTATTTCAATATATTGTGTTTAAAATTTTTTTTGATCATGCTTTATGAAAATTTATATTATAAAAGTATTTTCGCGGAAATTGTGTAAGTTTTTTTTCATTAAAAAAGCTAAACATTTAATTGCTCAAAAAATTATTTTTTTGAATTATTAATTATTTTGAATATTGCTTTATAATATAATTTGGATATATATATATATATATATATATATATATATATATATTTATTTCACAGTGTGAGTACTATAATTTCGTTATGCATCGATTCGGAGTTCTAAATTATTGAATAAAAAGACAATTGTATTTGTTGGCAGAGTTTTTGTTGCTCGATCGTGCGTTTTATCTTTTCCAAAAATTTCGATTTCTCTTTTTTTTTATCGCAGTATCATATACGAAGACAAGTTAGATAACACTTTATTCTGCACTGATTCGCGATACTTTTACTTGTGTACCGGTTTGATATTTACACTCGGATAGATTGGAATACGTTTACGGACAGTGCTCACACATTCATTGTTATATTCAAAATGCTGTAATATTGAAACGATTAGAAGAAGCTTATAAGGAATAAGTTTTTTATTGCTACAAAATATATATATATATATATATATATATATATATATATATTTTATTTAGTTTGTAAAATAAAAACGCGCTAATTGTGTTAATTTGTATTTTTAAAATTCTTGAAACTCGTTGACTGGATTATTCAGTATACTCTAATTGGCTGGAGTACTGCGTATATAAAATGTAACATTTCACAAATATTGTCGATAATGGAAAATATATCACGTCCTATTCAAAGTCGTCAGGTTAATTTAAATTTAATTGAATGAGAGAGAGCGAGCGAGCAAGAGGGAGAGAGAGAGAGAGAGAGAGAGAGAGAGAGAGAGAGAGAGAGAGAGAAAGAGAGAAATATTACACGCAATACTTTTTTGAGCAAAATAACAAAATAATAAGCGGTAAAAATTGCCAGAGTAAATGGCAATGTATGTATATAGATCAACTTTATAAAAGTAATTTTGCAATTAACCGAGTGTACATAGATATGCGTTATAATAATTGTTAATAGTTGCTATGTAATCATGCAACACGACAAATTTGTTCGATTCATCGCAAAGGTTTGCTTGAGAAGAAGCAGTAGAAGCTTTATTTTAAATTTATTTAACTTTTGCGATTCGATATTCTCTCTATTAATATTGGAAATTTTTTAAAAATTTGTAGCATAACAATCAATCGCAGTACATATGTCTCTCTTATCTTTATTTTCAATGTCGAAATAAATTATCTTTATTTCGACGCTATTCTTAAATTATTACATTAGTTAAAAGTACTTTCTTTGTTATTTCATAGCATGTTATTTAATTAACGGAGAATTGTTTTCAATATTTGCACGCAAAATTATGAGATTTTTAAAACGATAGGATATATCGAAATTTTCTATTGCTTCTTTTAATATTGATGATTACTTTTAACACATGATTTCGCCATTCTTTTGCGAGTATATTTCCCATGCATAATTGAAATTGAAATAGAATAATACATTTGCACATCAGAGATGTAGAGAATTTGATGACACCCATCTTCAATAGAACTTTATCGACTTTCGGAGACCAGTGATTAAACGAACGGAAGTTTGCCAGCATAGCGAACGATTTATTGCCAATAGGTAGGCGACGTTTTGACGTCGGGTATTTGCCTCTCGGGATAAATACCTCTGCTCGTGACGGAAATGCAGGAATAATCGAATAATAAAATTTACGAGAATAAGTCCGTTCAATTTATAGACACGGTATGCCTGCTTAATATAAACTCTATCTCTTTTATCGATTTCAACAAAATTCTGTTTTTCTCTTTTTGGTGCTCATTATGTCAGTTATATATGCAACATCGTCGAGAAGTTTGAGACAATTTCTTCTTTTGAAAAGACACGGACGTCATTATAAAGTTCTACTTACGCGAAGAAGCCCTGTGGGTTATTATATCCCACTATTATATCCCGCATTTAAATCGAAAAGAAGAATTTATATAAATATGTATCAGTACATATATATGTGTATTTCTATATTAATTAATTTCTATATTATTAAAATTCGCACACGAATTTGCCTTCCAATTTAAATTTTATTTTATTTTAAATTATTTTATTTAAATTTTATTTTATTTTAAATTATTTGTATTTTTCATTTTATCGCAACAATTCGTAAACATTGCTTCGCGTTGTTCTTAACAAATCAAGAAATTGTAGAAATTACAATATACAAATTAATACAGAGAATAAATAAGAAAATAATTTGATAAATCTTTTAAAGATTTATCAAACATTCACACGATGCTTCTTCTGTTCATCTCAATCAAAAGTTTGCAAGTGTAGAATGAGGACAATAAATCATTTTCCTTGTACGACAGTACGTTACGAATGTCTTCTGTTCGAGAGTATGTGATATTGATGTTTCCACCGAATGCATAATTCATACTTTGAAAACGCGACACTGAGAACGGATGCTGCGGGGTGATGCCATTCGATAAGCGACCCGTTTATTATCCATTCCAATCGCGATTACGTGTTGAATTGTTGTGAATTTCGCAAAATTATTCGTGCAATTCGCAATAATTTCACGAATTTAATTTTTTTTTCTTTTATTTATATCAGAGGACGATGATTGTTAATATTCGAGAGATTCGTTTAACAAATATTAAATACTCGATTTTGAAATATTTCATCTGTTTTATTTTCCGCGTAATATTTTAATCGCATCTATAATTTTTAAAACTTTAAATTAATTTAGGAAACATATAAAAGGTAACGTTAATAATTATAATATTTATAGAGTTTTTTTATGCAAGAGTCTCTTTAGCATATTTTTATGACAAGAGTTTAAATTTTTTATTATATATAGCATGAACATGTATATATTTTGCCCTTTCCAAGTGCCATTGCGACTTTTTGCTGGCAGCATTTTTAACGGAACAGCACGACGGTCGATTATTAAGCATAAAGGTTAGCCGTAAGAATTTTAATATTAAGATGCGTAGTTGCTGAGAAAATAGCGTTGCCCTATTAGACATCGTATATATTATGATCTTGGCGTTAAAACAATATTGAATATTTCTAGAAGATGACGCACAGTATGCTAATTTTTGACTTTTATGGACATTATTAGAGAAAATTATTATTATTTCTTTATAAAATATACAGATATAAATAATCACAATTCACTACAATACAGAGTTTTTATAATTATACATTTATAAATGCTGCTTTCGATATTTTTTTACGTAGGTACACGTATCACGGGATCTTGCGCTATATTTTTCTAGACACACCTAGTTATTTATTTACTCGTATATACAATCAAGATTGAGTTAATCGACTCGATCGTGAAAACGTATTATTCACTAGCGGAATACGTTTCTATGTAGATTAAGATGTCACCGCCTAATCTGATTCAGACTGAATATTGACGCGAATACAAAGAAAAAAAATGTAAAAATTGAGGATAGATAAAATGTGATGGAATATAACTCGATATCGAGATTACTTTGTCGCTCGTCCGCGCCGTTTGATCCTGTTGCTAATCTCTCGTGAAGATTCCCGCGTACGCAGATATTTTTCCATCACTCGGGATTAGATGCATAAATTGGTTTCATCATCCATGTGTAACGAATTATCGATTCAGTCGCTAAAGCGAAATAAACTTTATCTAAAAAAATGCTCTTCCCACGTACGCAAGACGGAAGAAGCAGAGTCTATGATCGCATGCGATAGATCTAAAAAAGAACGAGAACTTTTGACATTTCTGACGCGCACATTAGAAAATAATTATTATTACGCTACAAACGACATTTATGATACGCCGTGCATGGCATTTATATTATCATATTTCTGAATTCGACGTTTTCTACAACATGCTGTATATCTATAAATGAGGAATTTAAATTGACGTCGTCGTTAATAATCATAATGAATGGAATCAAGAGAGAGTGATATACCTAGGTATAATTAGTAGCATAGATTCTTATCGCGATATTATTACAATTATAACGAGCAGCAAATTTTCATCGTTAATTTTAATTATTTTAATATTTTTTTTTATTTATACAATGTTATTATTAAGAAAGATAGCGCTAGTATAATTGTTTGAAGGGAAGCAACGTATTCCGCTGGTGCTTTGGAGCTTGGATAAGCTTGGAAAACTATCGAAACTTTTGGTGGGATAGAGATGTTATTCAGCTCAACAGTTTGACTAAAAAGACACAAAAATAAAAGATTAATTTTCTTCGTAATTATCTCGCGATATATATGCGATAATAATTTGAATTTATTAAAGAGCGCCGCTTACTTTTGTCTTAATTTGGAGCCCACGCTCGCTACTTTAATCACACCGTTCTTGAATCCCGTCAAGACTCTTGTTAAATCAACCTTCCCTTGCTTGTCTTTGGAGAAATTTATCAATAGCGTCACGGCTTCCTCGCTCGTTTTTCGTAGGATGTATAAAATGTTGTTATTTATAACATCAACACTCAATGATCCAAATTTGAGCGCGTCCGACGTATTACGTAATGTTGTCAGAGCGCGATAAACCTTATAGTGAGATTCATTTTGATACTGTTCTACTATTAAATTTGTAATAGTATAATTTTCGTGAATCGGTAACCATGTCTTATTGGCATTGCTGAAGCCTATTGATAAAATTAATAAGGAATATTGAGATAACGCAATGACATTTCAGAATATCGCGAATTTTTCCCATGACTCTTTTTCGTAATTTAGAGTGTTTGATTTTTGAAATATTCAGTTTGCATTAATAATACTTAATTTCTTCCAGCATCTGAAGTCAAGATTATATTTTACACGCTTTAGAATTTTCTTGTTACACGTGTAATTTTATTTTATTTTTAACTCTTTTATATAAGTAGAGAGAGAAAGAGTTGGAAAGAAAGAGCTTTAAAGCAAAGACGGATTTATACTTTTCATTGTTGTATATATATACCTGCATTACGCTGAAAATGCCATTGAAATGGCGTGCGAACGGGATCACGAGATCGACTTTGGTATTTCTCTTGGCCCGCGTTACAAGCTAACGGATCCTGTGTTTCTTCCCAAGTTATGTCCGTTTTATCAACCATTCCTATTTCTTCGCCATAGTATGTAACCGCTACACCTGGCAGTATCATGGCTAACATTGTCATCTGATCGGCCATCCCGGGGAAACGCGAAGCAGTACGATTACGATCATGATTTCCCATCTATGGATATTTTGTTCGCTTGCAGATTATACAAAGTATTACTCATTTTGCGGGTGTATATGTACAAGATGTCAGGGCAATCTCTTCCCCACAAAAAAAGCTCTTGTAGCTTACCTCGAGAGCTTTTCAAAACACTATAATAAAGTATTTTTTATAGTGTTAGTATAGTAATATATTTTTTCATCGAGTACTTTTCGAGGCTTGAAATAATCTCTTAATTTTATATAAATCATAAAATATCTAGTAAAATATTCATTTTTTGATTCTTACCTTGATACTTTTATGTACAAAATAATGAGAGGTATCAATTGGTGTAAAAGAAAAACATATAATTGTTTCGAAGAAACAATATGCAATTTGCAATTAACAATTATATATTTTTTATGTAAAAATTAAGAAATTATTTCAAGCTTTACAACTCGAAAAGTATTCGATTTGAAAAGCTCTCGAGGTAAGCTACGAGAGCTTTCTTTTGAGAAGAGATTGCTCTGACACCCTGTATATATGTAAACGTATTAAAATGCACTTAGCAAGCAATTGTATAAATTTACCGCAACATTTTACGCAGTTGTCATTGAAATACGCTTTGAATTATATTATGGTGCATTTACATATATTGATTATATTATTGTATAGAATTACACAATGGTGCATTTTTAAAATGCACCATTTGTGGCTTGGCTTTAATCACTGAAGCGTTTATTAACATTATTAACCAATTCTTCATTTACACACTCGGATCTTTTATAATTCACGTTTATAAAACGCAAATATAACTAGCGTAAATGTGTTTAACATGTACTTGTTATATGTATATAAAAATTTTAAATTCGAATAATTTTAATTGAATTTATATTCTCTTGCCATATTATATTCTACCGTGTTATGATATTTTCTCCATCAACGAAAAAAACTTCAATAATAATGTTTGTGCAGTCATCAGATTAGATTTAGTTTCCAAATTAGATATTTCATATCATTGTCTCTCATTGTATGATATCAAATTAAAGTAGATCAGAATAATATTTTCTTACCACCCAATTAGCGATGCTACCTTTGGGAATTGCCTTCATCCAGCTCTCTATTATGTCTTTAAATACAGAAGCGTCCGAAGCATCGGTCGCATTCGTGATAAAATAAAAGTTGAATGGAATAGAACCGTAATTGTAATATTTGATAGTGTTTTCTAATGTAGCGTATGCTTCAATCAGCATCACCTAGCGTAAATAAGCAAAAATATGAATGTTATTAATAAGTATATACATGCAATAGATAGTTCTTCATTAACGCGTTAAACTAATTTTAACTTTTGAAAAACGATGCACTATTGAACGTAGTACATAAAAGAAAAATGCACCTTTTCGCTTGTATTATGTTGATAAGCATATTCATCCAAGATTTTCCTCCAACTTAGTACCAAGTTGTACGTCTCTGGCTGATCCGTTGTAAATATGTGATTTAGAGAGTCATATTCATAGTCATCTTCTATACCGCTTGTAGGTTCATCCAAAGTGTAATTTGTTTCGAAGAGATGCGGCACTGCATCCACGCGAAATCCATCCACACCTTTCCTCAACCAATATAGAATAGTTTCCTAAAACGACATAATAAAATTGAATATACGGCTTAATAATTGCGTATGCGTAGGTGCATTTGCGCCGTGAATCTTGATTATAATTGAAGGATATTGCAGGATTAATAACTCTACTTCTCGTAAAATATGATTATACCTTCATTTCCTCTTGTACCTCGGGATTAGTATAATTCAAATCTGGTTGCTTTTTGTGGAATTGATGAAGATACCATTGGTTACGGATTGAGTTGTATTCCCAAGCCGAACCACCGAATACGCTTAACCAATTATTTGGTGGCAGTTTACCTTTTCCATCTGCCCATATATAATAATGTTCATATTTGCCGGTACGATTTATGCTCTCTTTAAACCAATAATGTTCGTCGGAAGTATGATTAGGCACGAGATCGAGTATAATCTGGGAATCGAGTGAAAAATATGTATTAATATAATTTAATATTAATAAAATTATCACTGGAATTTAAAGCATAAAATTGATTTTTTAGACAAGCGCGATTATTTTATTATCGATTACCCTCAATCCGAGTGCTTTAGCACGTGTCAAAAGATTTTCAAAATCTGTCATTGTGCCGAATATTTTGTCGACATCTTTGAAATCCGAAATGTCGTATCCAAAATCGACCATGGGACTTCGATTGATAGGTGATAGCCATATTGCTCCTACTCCAGATGTCACAAAATGTTCGAGTTTGTTTGTTATACCTGTTAACAGGGAAAGATCGATACATGAATGGCACTAGTGTAATAAATTTATAATAACGTTTAACAAAATTTTGTTATTTCACCAACCAAAAATTTTCAACGATACAAATTTATACAAAATGCATATACGAAACAATAATCTCTTCTTCCTCAAAATTATGATAAGAGAAAATGTGAAATATTTAAAGCAAATATTCTTATGGAATACTTATGAAACATTACATCATGTTAAGTTAAGTACTTGAGATAAAAATCTTTATCACATAGAAAAATCATGAGGTTTCGAAGCAAACATGGAGACTTGCAATGCAAGTATATAAGTACAGTTAAAATTATTTATTATATTTTACGTCGCATTTTTTTACACATTGTGTAGCGATTTGCTGAGTGAAATAATTATAATAATATTTATTGCAATATTTTATACTTAATATTTACTTAAATTTATTTCAAATTGAATAATGACATATACATGCAATATGATGTTTAAACATAAATGTATTAAAAATAAACGTATAAAAATGATTTAATAACAACAACAATAATAATAACAATAGGGAAAATAAAAATAAAATCAAATTTATGAGTGAAATGAAGAATGGCAACAGATTGAAATAAAGAAAGAAATGAAGAAGATAGAGAGAAAGAGAAGAAAAATAAGAATTAATAAATATATATATATTATAAGTGCAACATGATGACAAAACTGTCACAGGTAAATCCATTATACGACAATGGACGTTACGTCCCCGTTACGAAACTGTTTTGTCTTCACGAACGATGTGTAATTATGTGCTGGGCAGGCATATGTGCGTCACAGCGTCATTTTCGTCGATGCTTATCGCGAAAATCATTACTTGGAGGAAGACGAAGCGTAGGAAGAGAGACAAGTTGAATGCGATGTGTGCCATCTCGACGCTCATTGAGATCTTTTCATTCTTTTCGCCCTCTCTTACCTTTGAGATCACCAACGCCGTCGTCATCAGAGTCCATAAAACTGCGAGGGTAAATCTGATAGAAAACCGTGTGATTCCACCATCCTCGGTCGAGGATCTCCCCCGAGATAAGAGTGACCGCTAGCAGGCTTAGGAAGATGTGGTATCGCGATTTGAACATCTTCACGATTACGCGGCGCGTTTGTCAACGTCGTAACTTATAATGTGAAGTGGACAATGTTGGCAGAAAGAACTGACGCTCGAAGATTCTTTATCTAACGAATCGGAAAAAAAATCCCGCGATAATTGTCATGTCGCCCGTGGGGGAAGCAGCATTATATAGGGTTGTCTAGTAGTATAAGAGATTGCAGATAACGATGCATCGTTTCGTGCAAACAAAATTCCACAAAGTGTGATTTCCCTGAAGAATGGCAAAAAAAACGTAAGATAGAAAAAAATAATTATCAAGATTTTCATATTTTTCTTGCCATTCGCAAAAGAAGCAGACGAGTTAAAGAGGGAAAGATTTAAACATTGAAAAGTTCAAATTGTTGATATGCTTTCAATAATATCGTTCATATATGTATATATTATATAATTAATTTTTCAAAGTTTGAGCCTTGGAATCTCCAGCGATCTGTTATAGAAATTTTACTTTGCACGTGATAATGACAACGAAATTCCATTTTGATTTGATTATATTCTCATTCAATAAGCATTTTTCATTAGATTTCTTTTACGAGAAAATTTAATTATAGATTGAATTACCGATTCGTTTATCGAAAATTAAAGGATCCCACTTTTAATTAAGTCGTTGGCAATTTTTCCTCGAGGAAAGTTTGAAGTCTAATTATTCTATGAACTTGGAGTTACAATTAATAGAAAGGATAGACATGGCGCTTTAACTATACAAGACAAAATTCATTATACGACGCATGACAAAATTCTGTAAATTCCTTGCCACATCGTAATCTTTTGATATTGTTCGTTTATCTTTTGTTAATAACATTATCAGTGATACATAGTTAGGATAATATAAGCGATGTCTCATCTATAGATTTTATAGGTGATATCTATTATCACTTATCAAGTATGATAATTGTGACTAAAATACAAATACCTTTTGTTTTACAAATTGATTATGCGTAATTAGATTTCTGTAATTTTATGCGAGGCTCTTTTTAAAGACAATCATGAATGATGAAAAGTAAAATAATTTAATTATTACTCCATGCATAAGCAATATCTTTTTTTTTTTAATTTTTCATTATATATATCATTCATATATCATTCATTATATATTCATTCATTATATATATCATTCACATTCATTATATATATATCATCAATTTCATTATATGTATCAAGTTTAAAAAGCAGTATCTTTGGCTGTGGCCCAAAAGCCAATTTTTAAATTGCGACATATTTATGAATTGTGTCGTGAATTTTAATCAAACATTGCACATCGGTAAATCGACGCAATGTTTATTTTAGAACTTGGCTTTTATGAGAAATCAGATAAAGAATTGATAAAGAGGAAAACTTAGATAAAGAGATCCAATATGCAACTCGATTGCATTATATTAGGTATATCTTAAATGGCGTTCTCAATTTTATTTCTCCAAAAATAAACTTTTACTAAACGCATACTTGCGCGAATTCGAGGATTTAAATTCGTGTAATTCCGCAAAAGTTTGTAGTCGCCACCAGTTACTTAAACAGAATGACGATAAAAATAATTTTTATTCTCGGAAAGCTGTACAAAAGTTTCGACATTCTTTCATTCTTGTCTGCTAAACTTCGAATTAAATAATTGCAACTTTTGTAATCCGTTTCCACACGCGAGAGAACTAAAGTTTCTTTAATTCTAGCGCAGTTGTGAGGAAAGTTCAAGACAGGATATATGAATGTAGATGAGAGACATGAGTGTTTGCAAGTTTTATTGTTGATTACATTACAAAAAAATTAAAAGAAATATACATTTGATTTTTTGACATCTAATATAATTATCAGATTTATAAATAAATAATATATAAGAGAGAAATGCGCTTAACAAAGTGCGTCGTTAACTATTGATCAAAATTTTCAATCGCAAACAGACACATTCAATAAATATTTAATTGTAAATACTATAATTATTTTATTATTTTAAATAAACTATTCAATATGAAACAATATTATTACTTTTTCCTGACGGAAAAATTCAGACAAGCAGTGAATGCGACACAATGCAATCAATATTAATGAGTGTACATGAAAATTTGAATACTGCGAGATTCAACCATTGATTTAACATGGATATCATTGCAAATTCACAATTTTTCGAAATACCGAGCGATTTAAATATCTATATGTATACAATTAAAGAAATTAACTTTTTCTGTTATGGAACAAAAGTATAATGAACTTAATATTCTGAATATATACCAAGCAATAAGCGCTTCATCTCTCTCTCTCTTTCTCTCTTTTCTCTCCTTCTTCTGTTATTTGTTCTATTTGCAGTAATTATGCGGACATTGCAAATTTACATTTTAACTAGTGCAATTTATCAAGCTGAAAATGTAGATGTCAGTGTCATGTAGGAATCAATTTGAATTAAAAACTTTAGCAAGCAGAAGATGTCGTATTTTATTGTTTTGTATTAATATTACATCGAGATTAACAACACGGGCTGCTTTTTTATTTTTTTATTAACCACAAGCATTGAAATTAAATATATGAAACATAAAAGTTTATCCATATCAAGATATTACTACGCGTAACTTGTGTAATTTTTTTATATAATGTCAAAAGTTATCAGACGAAAAAATCAAAGTATGATTGTGATTAAAATTATTGTGAGAAAGATCGTAACTTTTTTTAGCAAATTTTTTATACAAAGATTTGTTTATGATAAATATTATACAATTTATAGAAACGAGATGCTTATATAACAAGTTTTATATAAAAATACCATAATATTGATATCGATTATACAATTTTTTATTTCTGCAATAAAAGTATAAGTGGTTATTGTTTTTAATAACCACTAACCATAACCATAACCTTAATAACCATAATATAAAATTTGAATGCGACAAATCTTCTTTCAGTAGTAATTCATGAGATTTTTTTTTTATGAAATAATGATTGATTAGAAGAATGATTCAGATTGGTTTATAGAACGTAACGTGTTCTAAAAACTTAGGGAGCCAATATAATTTAACTATTAATTAGCTGTTGGGAATGACAGTTAATTGGCAAATGTCGGGGAAAATAAAATGAGAGATTAAATTCGCAGTTTACACCCTTTAGGGCATTTGATGCAGATAGAATTAGCTTTTGAAGGATTGAAATTAGTTGGAAATGGTCCTCGCATGATGTGAATGCATTTAATACGAACCAAAGTGCACGCAAAAGTAAACTGAAATAAAGCGATATACATGCAAATATAAAATCACTTTTAATAATTGAGAATACGACAGTTATTTTTTAACATTTTTATTTTGTTTTCTTTAGTTTTTACATTGATTGAAATATTTAATATTTAATATTTACAAATGTTTAATATTTAATATTTACAAATGTAATGTGATTGCGTAGACCAATTATTGGAACAAATTTGTTATTAGTACGTTTTACTTCTCAAATTTTTCCATTGCCTTCTCTAACGTAATATTTCACTATTGTCTGGCTCCCTAAGTTTTTAGAACACGTTACGTTCTATAAACCAATCTGAATCATTCTTCTAATCAATCATTATTTCATAAAAAAAAAATCTCATGAATTACTACTGAAAGAAGATTTGTCGCATTCAAATTTTATATTTAAAAACAATAACCACTTATACTTTATTTATGCCCTTTATCTATGAGTATAGTGTTATATCTTGAATAGATAAATCTAGTTGATAAAATATGTAAAACATAAATAAATAAAAGAGTAACATTATGTACATATACACAGAAGCAATAAGGCTAGAAGTAGATGCAAAGTAAAATCATTCCAACGACTGAATAATCTTTCCTTTTTGCCTAGAGAATTATGGAAATACATTGAAAATACAGTGCTTCATTCGTTTCCACAGCTTCTCGTATGGCCTTACTTTAATAGTACTATACGTATATTACAGTTGTTGATGCGGGGATTTTCAAGGCTCGAATATCTTTGAAGACGGTCCTAAACATTGCAAATATAAAATAACAATAAAATGAGCGCGATGAGCATTCGAGATAGTATAAGATAATATTTGAAAAATCTCCTTTGCATTTCTTTCGTACATGCTTTACTATCAATATCTAGTAGTGTGCATATACGTGAAGAAAATATATACTTACCCGATTAAATGATGAGCATTTGTAGTTGCATAGTAAACTGTCAATCTAGTGTCAGGCTGAATGAACGGTGATAAGTCGACAGTCTCTTCTTTATTTCCAAAGTTTATCGTTACGTAAACCGAATCTTCGTGAAACCTGTAGTAATAAGCATATCTTACTGATATTCAACTTTAAACACGTAACAATATATTTTGCGGGAAAATTAAATATTAGAGATAAATATCCTTTTAGTGTTGATATTCCTAAGAAAATATACTTTTCAATATTCGAAACATCAGCTGTATTAAATGGTAATAATGATAATAATATAATAGAATAATGCTTGTCTTATACACGTCGTCACGCTTTACCTGGCAAAGAAAAGAACATCATCGCCTAATAAGTTTGTGGTCAAGGTTCCCTCTCTAACAGCCGGTAATGTTCGTAGAGCAGAAACTGCCTTATATAGTGAGTAATAGGAGTTCCGTACTCCCTTTTGCGCGGCCAAATTAAGCGTCACGTAATTTTTGTTTACCGGTAACCATGTGTTCGGATTTCTAGAGAATCCTAAAATTGTTGATAAATTAGTTTATTGCTTCTTTTCATAACAAACGTATAACGTTGCACATTGCATAGAAATGTAATCGTACTTTCAACATTGCACATGTAATAATGCGGCACAATAGCTTTTGAGCATTTGTCTTTTCTAAATTGTAAAACGACAAATCCACAGTGACAAATGTCAAAATGTATAGCACATCGCAATGATCGATAAGCGACCTGTTTCATCTCGGGATTTTCACCCACTTTCTTTTCGAAATCTCAAAATGTGACGCGTGACCTGACAAACATATCGCGCGCGTTGATCCTTGGATATGTGGACCATGACACGAGACTGACGTTAAAGCGGCGCATTTCGTTCGATACAAACCGGTTTCTATCGTGTTACCGGTTATTTAATGCAATTTCTTTGCTATTTATTAACAGATCAATCGCGTTAATCGATATTCGTAAGGAAGAAATTTATTTCGCAAACGATATCATCAACTGATACTTGGCTTCATCATCGATACTAAAGTTTTAAAAACATGACATAAAATATATTTTCGCGCTTCAAAATTATTAATAAAAAATTTGTAGAATGGCATAATATTGTGTAATCGACGATTCGAAGATTCTTTTTGCAGTGATATGAAACAGGGTAGCTTTCAGTTATATGTTAGTTTTATGAATTGCTTCCACAAATTTTAAACACAACAGCTTAAGTCGAATTATGACTGGTGGATTAGCACAGTGATTTATTATTTTATAATTTTATAATTTCTAGAAATTGCTCGGAATAGTACCTACCAGCTGAAGTGGTATTGTCCCATTGAAATGGCGTTCTGGCAGGATCCCGGGACGCTTTTTCGTATCCTTCTTTACCAGCATTACAAGCTTGCGGATCTTTGGTATCTTCCCACGAAATCCATGTATCCTCCATTCCGATTTCTTCACCATTGTAAGTCACAGCTACGCCTGGAAGCAACAGAGTTAGCACAGTTACCGCCTGCGCTCGTTCCAATCCGTAACGTGTCACTAATCTGGATCTGTCGTGATTCCCAGCCTGCGAAAAGAGTGCAATTTATGAAATTCGTTGCGGTTAAGCATCTTAAAAGTAGAGATAAAAGAAGATCAAATATGATAGTGCATTCTATATAATGACGACTTGAAAGAAAAACGACATAAAACGTAAAAAATTAAAAATATTTAACGAGCCATATTCGATCTCAAGCTTACAATTTTAAAATTTAAAAATTTAAGCGGGCAATAGCTTGAAACATCAAATATCATAGCTCTGTTGTGCAAGTGAGCGATTAAGATCTCGGCTAGCTCGAAAAACTGTCGCTCTAGTTAAGCGACACTTGGAGGTCGATACTAGATTCGAGAGAATACGTTTCTTTCATTCGACTTACCACCCAGTTGGCGGGACCGCCCACAACAAGCATGTTTAGCATCCATCTATCGATTACCCTTTTAAAATCGGCCGCTTTAGAGTCTCGATTCGTGTCGGTAATCAGACCAAAATTGAAGGGAAAGTGTGCTCCGTATACATAATACTTAATCGTCATCGACATGTTTGCGTAGACCTCCATCATCATAACTTTGTCCTGATACTCGTCTAGCACTTGTCGCCATCCTTTGACTATCTCGTATGTGCGTAGCTGATCCTTGGTGTATATTTTGTCCGTGTAACCGTAATCATCGGGATTCGGATTACCCGTGAGTGGCTCATCCAAGAATCTGACGTCCTCGCACAAATGTTGAATCGCATCTACTCGGAATCCGTCCACTCTCTTGTCGAGCCAAAATCTCAGGACGTCCTGGGGGAGCAGGGTTAGAAAGACAGAGTATAATATTGGGGATAACATTTTATATATATCTTTCAAATATATATATAATATATATATATATATATATATATCTTCAAATTACTACTGTGCTATATGTGCCCTAAAGATATTCATTCGAAACAATGGTTTACACAGCAAATACACAGTAATTTAATTAATTATTTCGCTTTGATTCATATATAAATCTGATTACTAATTTCTACATATATATGCGCATCCAAATATCAGCATACGGAAAAATGTATAATTATAAAATTTTATAATAGAACACAAATCAAAGCCACACGAGAAACTCTGGATACAGCTTAAATAAGAAACTTGAGAATGATAAGAAGCAAAAGCTAGTGCGAACATTACAAATATTCTCATTTAAATTTAATTCGAATAGAATTAATACTTTTATATAAAAAATTGATGTTTCTTTTTTTTAAATTCCATATATCTTATATATTTGTTATAGACTTGGAAAAGTGCTATGCGGACAATTGTATTTAATTAATATGAATAATTTGCAGGGATACTTCCGTTATTTCATGTTAGATTGAATTAATACGGAAAAATGAGGGATAAGCGTCGCAAAAATTTCAATAATATGAGATGAAATTCAAGAAATAATTTTTTTGTTATAATAAATAATACTTGATAATATTGATTTAGAAAAGGAATCTATACATTTCTTTTTCAACATCTCCATCTGACTTTATGTTACAAATGTGACATATTCCGAGTAAGTTTTTGTGACATAAAGGATTTCGAGAAATTGAGGTTGTGATGAGAAGGAGCATCTTGTCGTGAAGCAATTTCGTGGTTATGGATGGAAAGAAATTGAATAAAACCCCGACTCGATGCGCGTGACGGAGTATATTATGTATGTGTGTTTGTATGTAAAGAAGAAAAAATTGTTATATATATATATTATTTTAAGAAAAAAAAACACAAATACATAATTGCCTCTCTAATATTTATCGAGTAAAATATAAAAGAATGATACGCGTTGTACACATATTTATATATTTATATTTGCGTCTTTTCGATTTTAAATTTCGCGAAGCTTTTAACTCGAGCGGAAAAATGATCGCAAATTGCATCACGCGAACTTACTGCACTATTTGCTGCACGATAGTTTGTCCAATTCGGATTTTATTGCGTGTACCAGTGTACTTTACAACTTTCGGTATTACGGCGGGATATTTCACCGTTTCGCTGTTTCTCAAATCTACAAGCGCAGGATTTGATTGCGGAATATGAATATCCTGCGAAAGTTTCACGTACTAAAATTCCATCAGTTTTGTAGCGTGAAGGAAAAAGGATAAGCCGGTTATAACGGCCAACTGGAAAACTTGACCTTTCGCCTTTATCTAAGTGCGAATAATTTGTTTGAAAGTTATTATTCCGGCTCGGCGAACTCTTGTTTTTGTTAAATTAATCGTAATTATCTCGCTTCACGCCCGCTGGACATTTGTCACTGCCGGATCATTATATATCGATCATCTTCCACGGTTAAGTCACATTAACGATCATTGTCGCGCGACCGTTTGCGACATTTTGAACGTTTGTGCCTCTGAAAAATTGGCAAACATTGCGCGCATCCGTTTCCCGAGCCGTCCAGCGAGTATAATTTCACGCTCGTTGCGTTCACGCAACGGACAATTAATTGCATCCGCTTCTCGTGCGAGGACGCGATGGAGGAAGACGCTTGTCTGCCAATTTCGTTTTAGTGTTGATTTATCCCGACGAATTAATCACTACTGATGAAGTGCACGAATGCGTATTTTACCGTCAATTTTTTCGTTCCGAGCGTGACCTTTCTAAAATTATCACGAGCGAATTACGTTGGGAATACGCGAAGAGAGACGAGGGGAAAATAGGACGATGTTTTCCCTTCATTCTCGTCGCAACGTGAAACGTCGAAAGGAACGGAAAATCTGTCGTGCACGAGCGCATGCGGCGATGATAACGGAAAAAGCAATGTCTTGCGCGATGTATACGGAATACCAGATTTATTTTCTCCCGGTGACATCGACGATGCTGGGTAATCCACCGTCTCTATTCTATCGTCATGGTTGTCCCAGGCAACGTGATAACAAGATAATCCGCTATTTCGATGTTTTCATCGCGAGAAGATCGTATAGATGATTAATTATTACATTTACTTTTATATCGAGCAGCAATTGGACCTGGTGTTTACTTGAAAGTTGTTAGAGCTTTACAGCTGACACCGACTTCAAATTTAACAACAATTTTGTGTCACACGATCTTGAATCGTAACTTTATGTCTAAAGAGACCAATGAAATCGTGTGTATGATAGTGATTTGATATAAGAGAGAGAAGCATGGCTTTTTTGCGAATAATACGTACCTTCATTGCGCGCACTACGTTCTCGTTCTCATAGTTGAGGTCGGGCTGCTCCGCTGCGAATTGATGAAGATAATATGCTTGTCGTTCTTCACGCCAGGTCCACGCTGATTTACCGAACACGCTCACCTATAGATAATCGTTCAATCATCCCGATTAATCGATTATGCCTTGAAAGCTTTACAACTACAGATATAAAACAGATGGAGTACGTCGAGCTAAAACATTCCGAAGAATGTATACAGGGTGGTTCATTTTAATCTTAACAGGCAAATATTTTGAAAAATATGCGAGATACCAAAAAATGTTTCAGACAAAAGTTGTATGGTTTTAAAGGAGACATAAGATTGCGTCGTTAATTTGACTTTAAATAGTTACTTGAAGGTAACGTGAAGGTCACCCTCAACTTTTTGGAAATGGAACCGCCTATTTTTTATTATTTTGTATTCTTGTAGCTTATCTCGAGAGCTTTCCAAAAGACTATAATTAGGTTAGTTTCCATTAAGTACTTTTCGAGTTATGAGGCTTGAAATTGTTTCTTAATTTTACATAAACCGTAAAATATCTTGTAAAATATTCATTTTTCGATTATCTCAGTCAAATTAATAATACCATCTTATGTCTCCTTTAATAAACCATATAACTTTTGTCTGAAACATTTTTTCGTATATTTGTCAAAATATTTGCCAGTTAAGATTAAAATGAATCACCCTGTATATTTCAGATTCGTGTTGTGCTGACTGGAATGATATTGTTATCCCGACGCTTATATATGTTTCAAAATCGACGAGACTCGTATAATCGTAATGATGAATTGTCGGCTAATATTTTAATGTCGGAGAGAACATATTTTCGATATTAGAGATACAATCGATTCGCGACGGGTAAAAAAAAATCGTCTCAGTAGAACTTTTTGAAAGAATTTTCGTCTGACTGATCGTCAAAGTTGAACCATAATTTAATTAATTTATCTTGTTGAAAACGTTTGTAACTTAGCATTTAGCTCTTCTCTTTTTCTCTCTCAAGTCATTCTTGCCGCGACACTTGATGAGAGATATTCTTGGCAATCGACCATGTCGCTCTGTACGATAAATATTTTTGTTAATATAAAACACTACAACTTTGATAGAAATCGGAATTATGTTACATTGCATTATACATTATATTATAAGATTCGAATGTATCAACTGTCTGAATACGAAATCCGAATCGCTATCCAGTAAAATCATTTATGCATCTCAAAGATAATACGAATTATTTAGTAGACACATCTTGCGTGATGCGATTGTTGTGAGCTCAACTGAAGTAAATCACTTTGAATGTTACCACCGTTTATATATCGTATTGCGAAATGGAAAATTAATGATAAGAGTTAAATATAATCTCGCTTAAAAATAGCGAAAGAAAATAATTTAATAACGCCGGTTATTTACATCGGTCACGGTTAGTTCTTTTATTATTGGAGATGCGAATAGCCAATTTTTCTATTATTATAAATTTTCCCACGATACGACGTCTCTTTGAATGATCAAATACCACTTACCCAATTATTCGGTTTTGTAACCGTTCCATTAGGCAACACCTTGCCTTTATGCCATACGTAATAGTCGGTGTAGGGTTCGATACTCTTTAGACTCTTTTGAAACCATTCATGTTGATCGGAAGAGTGATTAGGAACAAAATCCAGAATAATTTTTAAAGATGCGTCATGCGCGGCTTTTACGAGCGCCTCAAAGTCCTCCATAGTGCCAAAAGTTTTGTCGATGCGGAGAAAATCGGAAATGTCATATCCGGAATCGACCATCGGGCTGGGATAAATCGGAGATAACCAGAAAGCTTTAATATGCGAACGGATGAGATGGTTTAGCTGGCTCTTGATACCTGTATGCAAAAAGTCAAAACATTTTTAGAACGTATTCGTAAAATATTTTAATCTTTTAGGTTACAATTCTTTTTAAATAAATATTATTGCATGCTTAATTTTAAATAGATTTTTTACCTTTTCAAATCTTTAATTCAAATTTCAATTATCAAGATAGTTTTGATACCTCAAATGTCAAAAAAACTATCGACAAATAATTGGCTTATTGCAAAATATTCAACAAAAATTCGAAATTTTATGTTTATAAAAATATATTTTTTAAATTTAATTTTATATTATCTCGATAGAATAAATTTGTATTTTAATAACTTGGAGTTGAAAACTTATGCATATTAGAATGTATAATAATATAGTTATATAATAATAATATATAAATTTAATAAAACGAATGCAGTATTTGTCGTACATATCTAACAGTCGATGAAATAATTCACGCTCGCTAGTATATTCCTTTAAAATATTACTTAATCTTACTTTTTAATATGGTAAATTATTAAAATGTGTATACTTTAATGTGGTATATTATTTAAATGTATTACATTATTATTATCAGAATTTTTATAATTTATTTTAAAATTTTACTATTAATAAAAGAAGGTACCATTAAGATCTCCTGTACCATCTCCATCGCTGTCCTTGAAACTTTTGGGGTAAATTTGATAAAGTGACATTGTCCGCCACCATTTTGCATTAGGTTTGCCATGCCCAATACTGAACAATAATAATATTGTACAAAGCGTGATTATTCTTCTCATTTTATCTGGATCCTTGAAAATAAATAATAAACAATTATTTATGCACTAATTCAAATATGCTACAATATATATAGAACAATTTATTCAAATTAAGATATCCAAATATCTAAAAATAAATATCCGAAATCTTACAACGAATAACGTTTTGAAAGAAAATGTTTAAAGAAATAAATTTTTGCCGGCAATTGAGAACAGCCGTTTTTATTATAAATTTGCATACTTGCCAACAATTTGTCGACGTTATTGCTTATCCCCTAATCAATGATACTGCTCGGACACTGCTGTAAGATCTACTGTTGTAGAGTAACCAATCTTTCCTCTTTTATAGTCGCATTATGTAATTTTGAGCGAATAAAGTTAGTATGCCGGTGTATTTATTTCGCCTAATCAAAAGATATCGTAAGATTGTATCTTTAATAGAATCTTTATATTATTTATCTTTTTCAATACAAAGCCACATCAGTGCTACAAAATTTAAAACATCAGTGTTTATCAAAAGTAACAAGAATGATTAAAAATAAGCGAAACATTTGCAAATATATGTATATATAAATATATAGGATTTTCCGTTTAAATGTTTCACCTTTTGAGGTATTCCTCAGATTGACTTTAGAATCAATCTTATTAATCGAAATCAATTTTTTCAAATATATTATTAAAATTTAATACGGTTGAGAACTTATCGTTTATTAAATTTCAATGTTTGCATTTTTTCGTACAATGAAAATATTATTTTGATATTTTTCCGTCTTTACAATATGCTGATGAAAAGAATGTTATTATTTAATTAGCATTTAAAAATATTTTGGGAGAAATTTTGTGTGCAAAAAATTGCTTGAGAAACATTGCTCGAAAAACACTGATGCAAAGATGTGTTCTTATATTTCGGAAATTAAATTTATATACGAAATTTAATTTATATACGATAATGATATCTCATATTAATATCAATCTGATATCTACGAATAACGATACTAATATCATATTATTATTGATTTTATATCAACAAGATAAAATGAATTTATTTTAGATTTGACACAATTTGTGACTATATAGTGCATTGATTATATAGCGCACGTGTATATAGGTGAACAATTTTCTAACATTAACTATCATATATAGAATTAATCGCGCGGTCTCTATCAAAATGAGATTAATACAACTAGATATTTTACTCTGAGAGATGAATAAATTTGTTTTTGATGTTTTGATGTTTTGAGTTTTATAATTCTGTTAGTGGGATTGCGCGATTAACGAGTCTTTATTTACTAAAACATGATAGCTCGGAATGTAATAGAGAATGAAACTGCAATTCGCGCGATCAGACACAACATTACTTTAAACAAATTTTACGGTAAAAATTTTCTACCAGTTTTGCGTTCAGAAAAGAAATCATCTATTTTTTATCTACTTTTTAAATGAAAATGATAATCTGCGTCGGTATTGACATGTACATGATTGACATATAACGTGTAAAAAAATATAAAATTCCTTGACAAATTCCAGACAAAAAATTCTAGTAATGCCAATTTTTCTACAAAAATTTAATCAGTAATAAAGTATTTGAAAAAGAATAACTTACATAAGCAATTATTGACAAAATTATATTACGCCCAAATTTGATGAAAATGAGATTGAAATCGATATTTTTATATTTTTTTGAGGTACTTGTTCGACATATCATTTTGAAATATTTATTTGAAACATAAATTAAAGCTGCTTATATAAATGGTCAAATCATATTTTTACATTTTAATTTTATTAGGTATCTTCCAAACGCTTATAGATTTACAACTTGTGAATATTGTGCATAAAAATATTTATCTTGCGTTAAAGAATGAAAATTTGTAATTTAGTTTGCGATAATGATAAACGATTGTGATTTTTTTATTACAACCTTTACTTGTAAAAAATTATTTACTTTTTTACTATAATAAATTTTATTTGGCGAATGAAAACGCAACAAGCGTTTTTTGTACAAAAAAAATGAGAGGAAAAAATAGAAAAATTTTTCTCTTTGTCGTTGCTATTACGAACGCGGTAGTAGAGTTTTAAACAGAAATTTAATCTCGTGACCTAAAAACATTAGTGGGATTGCGCGATGTTTTATATAGACCCCGGAAAATGCTCCCAAAGCTCTCACTTCGTTAAATATTAATAAATAGATTAAAAATGTGCTGTTCTTGTGTCATACGTGTTATAATGTATATTAATCGGATAATGTATGAGCGATGAAATTATAGCGTAAAAAGAGGAAGTAAATTGGTTCGAGAGAAGTATAACTTTAATCAATTTTTGTTCTCAACGGCACAGGAAGACTTTACTTTGATAAACAAAATTTAAATTTTAACAAAATTCCGCAAATTAAATTAACACGTTCAAAAGTTATTCTGTTACATTTTTTTAATAATTTTCGATAGATAAAACGTATAAATATAAATATAAATAAATGAAATTACATTTGAATTTATATTAAAAGAAAGGAGGTCAAATTCGTACCATACAGAATGCCGAATAAATACATATGACAAAACGTTTAAGCGAAAGCAAGTTTAATCGCAAAGAGAGAGATTGCGCACGACTCGCGATTAACGATTTGACTCGACGATATTCATTCTGGCAGTCTGTTAGAAAATAATGTTAATTAAATTGCACTATTTGGATATTCGAATAATAGCGTGTCGTAACTTTCTCGGAGACAAGACTGAATCATTTCATGTAGCTACCATCCGTTATATCGCATACAAGAGCAAGAAGCATAATCGTATATTTGAGTTGCATCCAGCGCGGTTGCGATTGGTAATCAGATTTCCCGTGAAGATCGCCAAATTTAGTGCGCGGTATAATTTCCGCTCCAGAGAGCGTTTTGCCTCGTTCGTATCTCGCGCAATGAAAGGGTGCGGATGCAATGAGAGAGGAAAAAAATTAGACAATGAAAGGCTAACAGAGCCGGGCAAACAAACTGAATTCGAGTTAAGGTCTTTGTCCAGGCACAGGGTCTATTCCATCGAGAGGCTCTCTACGGCACGGTAATCAATAATCCAGGTATGCGCATCTTCGGGTTACGTACTCGAATGCGTGTACATACACATCGCCGAATGTCGTCGATGTTTTCCAAAACTTCAACCAGCGATTTTATTTTATCCGTTGTTTTCATCCGTCGAACAAATCTCGACTTTTCCAGTTTTATGCTTTATATCGGCTCGATTCTGCAATTATATTTTATTCTAACTTGAGAGATGAGAAAAAACCAATAAATGATTCAATAAAATCGATAAGCTGGAGAAAATCTGAAAATCCTGAAATTCTTTTTTAGATTTTAGGTATAATAACAAAATTGTTTGTTTAGGTATAATAACAAATTGTGCAGAAATTTTCTCAGAGAACGAGAAAATCATTAGACACTGATAAGAGCTACTAAATTTTCAATGTCTTGAATAATGTTCATTTTTTTTAAATACATATTTTGATGATATAAATTTACTGAATTTTAAATTGTCGCATTAGAGCTCGCATTCATCCTGCACATGTCAGACAATTTTAAGACGCAGTTGGACAAATATGCTAAATTTTCAATTTCTTACAAGTACACCAAGTGCTAGCTTATTAGTAGCGATCGATATAAAGCGCATTTCTTAATGAAAATCTAGCGTTGGATATCTTTTGTGAACAACACATAATAGAAGTCCTGCCGTATCTCTCTTCCATCTTACCTATTGAATTAAATTATTACGACTGATCTAGCGACTGATAAAAGCGCGTTTTATCATATAATCTATTACGATTCAATTTTTCAATGGGATTAGGATATTGTTTGCTATTTGTAGCTTGATAACATCAAATTAGCTCTTATCTGCCTAGTTGATTTAATATTAGATATGTCGAGAAGAATCTGTATAGGTTTGGAACATGTTCCTCGGAAAATTATTTAAAAGGAAGGACCATCGTAAGCCGCTGTCACGTTTCGGACGTTCTCTTCAACCTTTGAAAATCGAATAATAGGAAAAACCTTTTTCACCTTTCTTGTCACGCAAGAAAGTTATGTCAGAACGCGATAAGCTTCCAGTGAACTTTATGTCTTCGATTTTTGACACACCAAGCTACATATTCCACATCTTCTACAGTAGCTTTCTAGCAACAAAAGAATTCGATTTTGATATGCTTAATTTTTATACGCAATTACATTATCAGCGATCTGATTTCGCTAAAGATGAAAATTTATATTTTAAATCACATACTTTAATTAATTTCGATAAAAACAATGATAATAACTTGCAATATATGTAAAATAGTTTAGTACAATTTATCGCATAATTAAATCGTCTCATTTATTATGCACATCGGCTGCATTTGTGCCAATAATTGTACAAATAATTATTAGATTACGTTCATCACGTATTATTAAGTAATACTATTGAACAATATTTTGGTAGATCGTATACACACATGTATATTTTACTTTGATAATAAATTGCATGACGCGTAGAACGCCGCGATAATAATCATCCATTAAGTTAATGAGAAAGTTTACTTTGTGTGTTGGAGAATTAATTATTACTCTGCTATATATTTTTCAAATCTAAATTATATTGAAAATATTTATTGGAAGAATTTTTATCCAACGCATTCTTTACATAGTTATTTTTCCTCTTCAATGAAAAAAAAGAGATAATTTAAGAAAAAGAGAATAATTTAATCTCGACAAAAATATTTTAATCTTTTTTATAAAAATTTACCATTCCGCATGCAGAGTTATGCAGCGATGCGTTTAAAACTATCCATAATCCATCAATGCATTGAAATTCGCCATTTTATATTCATAGGGAAGATAGAGTTCCATTATATCAAAAGTGAATAATATATCAATATTGACTTTTTCACACACATAGTTAGTATAAAAAAGTTCTATATCGAGAAAAGAATCGCACACATTCGTGCAAATGCTTTTAATAAAAATATAATTATAAAGATACGACGCAATTAAGAAACATTTATAAATAAAAGCTTTTAAGAAAGATAATCTCAGCTCCGCACGCATATACATACAATTAAAATTCCACTTATGTTTGATGTTTATATATGCAATGTGATATTCATAGCATTGAAATATGTATTTGAATGTACTTTGCTCCCGTTGATAGCAGAAATATGTCAAATCTTGAGAGATTTATTGTGTCAAGTTGTTCGAATTTATGATCTCATACGATTTTGCGACTGGTTTACCGAGTTTTGTTCTCAAATATTAAGATTGAAGAAAGTTTCCGGAACAATAAAAATATTTTAAGGATTGTTATTTTAAGGATGTTTTAGATGATAAGATCTCAGAAACATGTGCCATTTTTTT